CGAGGACCCCATTCCAGTGCCCTCCCGGGGCTGTCAGTCCCTGCCCCAGTGACACAACGGCAGTGCTGGTCTCCAGCTCCCCACAGCCCTGCCCTGCCCAGAGCCATGGCCCCACTGCACCAGGGAGGTACCCAATGATTAAGGCTGGGGCTGTCCCCTGTGCCCCCCGGCTGCTCTGCTCCTGGCTGGGGCTGTGGCATGGGTACAGGCTGTGAGTAGGCAACAATAGGGAATTCTGGTTTATATCTGACAGAGAGTTCATGCAGATCCTTGACACCTCTGCTGTCTAGTTTACAAGTTTGGTTTAGGTCAAATGCATCACCCTGTTTCACAATTTTACACCCAGTGCAATAATCCCCTATTTTACAGTGTGTGTAATGGCTATAGAGCCATTTTCAGATTAGTAATTATTGTTTCTGGACTGTCTCTGATAGACTACAGATAATTTCTGAATATCATGTGGTCAAGAAGAAACTGTTTTATAAAAGACTTTCCAGAAATCTTTAGAAACATGTGTCTAAGACTCTACCATGAACTATGGTACTTAAATGCAGAATTTAGCTCTGATGCAGTAGAAATGACTTTTAAGTCTTTTATAATAGTAGTATATTCACATAAAAGTAAATAATGAGATGGTAAATCTTTATCTTCAGTTGCAGTCTAAGAGATTCAGTAGGGTAAAAGAAAAAAAAGTAGCTTTAGAGAAAAATGTTTGTTTTCAGTAACTAAATTAAAAAAAAAAAACCTCAACTCTGCTATTGCATGATCACTCTTGGCAGTCTACCAAACAGAAAGACATACCAGCTAGCTAAAGTTGCACAAGGCACCTCCTGAATAGGGAAATGCTCAGGAAACTCGTGTTAGCAAGAAAAAAATATGTGATCTTTAAAAGTATCATTAACCTTTTAAAATTTTCATTCAATGCTAACAACAACTGGGAATAAAAGTAACAATGACTATTCAGAGCAACCACCCTAGAAAGAATATTTAGGCATGGTTATGCTAATTATTTGATATTCACAACAGACTGCAGGTGACAAGACACTCCCCTGGATATATAACAAGCCTTTGCAAACTGGGTTGTACAGTCATAGCAATCCTCTTGTCTTTCCAGAAGAAAATGTAGCTGAAGGACATACAGATTAACTTCCCAGCAGCAACTGTGCCTGGTCTGGATAAAGAAAAAAACACTGTCTCCAAGGCTGTAAAAGCCACATCCTTCTCAAATGGCTCAAAAATAATCTATAAATCAAAATGTTAATTCTTAAAAGACTATTTTTTTAATGCTATTTAGTTTTGAAACTATATTCAAATTGCTAAAACAATTTGAGAGCCTACTTCTATTCAGTTTATATCCACTCATCACTTGCAGATATGTGTTTTATTTAGGGTAGGATTCACCTACATTTACACATCCACAGTGCAGATGTTTGTGTCTAAGCTGCGGTAGTGATCCAAGTTAGCTTGCCTTCCTAAATTCCATCTGCAGGCAATAGAGGCAAATAGCCACTTCTAAGTTGCAGGTCATCTAATCTGTGTTAGACACCTACTTTAAAAGGAGACAAACTGGGCTGCAGACATGCTAGTTACATTCTGTTGATCACAAAGGGAGCTTAGACAATGAATTCAGATCTTGATACCTTCCTTGCAAACCCCTATGTTCAAGTCAGATGTATGCCTTCTTCATGGCCACTAGGCCTAGAATTTTTAACATTTGAGGTTACAAGCAAACCTGTGCCCTGTTGAATGTAAATCTAGGGTTATTCAGCACAGGGATATAATCAGAGAGTATGATATTGAAATATGACAGTACCAAGGGAAGTTGAGATATGGCGATTTTAAAAAGAAGATGCTTTGGTCGAACACTGTTAATAAATCTGATCTTAACATCTAATTGTTTTAAACAAATCATCAATTTTTATTCTCCTCAGCCATGTGCTTGAAATGGAGAAGATAACTGTTTCTTGTATTCCAATATGGTCTCTTCCCAACTTGAATTTGCTTGTCCTTGTTCATCTATCTTGTCTATTCAGCCTCTGAAAGACTGTAGTGCCTTTTCAGCCTCTACAGTCCACATCCCAGCTGCCCCCAGGCCTATATCTGGGCTGTGAGGGTGTGGAGAAGAGGGGAGAAAGCAAAATCTCATATTAAGATTTCCTGATGGGAAAAGCTTCTTAAGTTACAAAACACAGGGTTCATTCTAAACCTGCAGCTTAAATAATGAGCTGATTCAATTTCAAATTATTACCTCTGTCATCATACTAACCTGAGGATTTTCCTTCCACCCCCAAACCAATACCACCACCAAACGACCTGATCCTACTACTGCATGGTTCCTTATTCATATGGCAAAAATCAGGAGTGCAGGGTGCTACACATTCTTATACCTCTTTTATCATTCAAGAATGTAAGTTGCTGTTTCTCACTTTAGAAAATTGCTACATGAAACACTCAATTTAAAATAAAACTGGAAAAGAGGGAAATCAGGAAGCCATGTCATGCATTCTGATTCTTAGCCTTCATAAGAGTTTTCAATCTATTATGGAAAATTCCCACTGAAATTCCAGATTCTTTTGGATTCCAGAGTTGCATCAGTTTTGGGTAGGGAGGGTGTCTTCCGCTGTTGTTAATAAGAGTAGTATTTCTTCTAGCACAAGTCTTAAGATCATTCTGCTGTTATATTTAAGAAGGGTGGACTAATCAATTCTTAGTCCACAGCACATTGCATGTGAAAAGAGATGGTTTCATCTGGTATCGAAGATATGCAGACCTTCAGTTGTGACAAGCTCATCACTTCTGCTCCCCAAAATTACCAGCTGCAAAAATGTGAATATACCCCAACACTTTGGAACAGCTGGAACTTCAAATCCAGTCTTAGAAGCCAGACTGCAGCATTTGCATGACATTATTAGTTCACACAGCCATTCAAGAGTGTAAAGAATGGATTAAAGTAACAGGAATCAATATTTCTGATTATTTCTGCATAGAACATGTATACTGCTAGAATCCTTAGGCACATAATAATTCAAATCTTACTGTGACTTCTCTGATAGTAAAAGATATCTTACTGGCCTTCAATAACCCATTGAACTTTCTCTTGAGATTTTAGTAATACATACTCACTTATCATTCAGTTCACCACTTTGTATGTTCCTTCAGTTATAATTTCAATGCATCTCAATTGATTCTTCTACCATAAACCCAATTTTGCATCCAAGGAATAACTTACTTTCTTGTATTGCATTAAGAATTTCTGAAAAGTCCACATCTGTCTTCTGTATGTCTGGTTTTATCCATATTTGCGTTTCCAGCTGGTTAACCTGCAAATCCTCTCTTCCTTCTGAAGAAATTGAAGAGATTGATGGGGTTTGTGACAGTACAGTACAAAATCCAGACAAGGGGCTTTCAAGTGAGGGAACATACACATTGAATAAAGCTACTTAATTTTTTTCCCCCTAGCAGAACCAATTTTTCTTCAAACCAAGCAGCTTTACATAGAACATGGGCTGATTTAAAGCTAACGAGAATGAATCAACAACATTCTCTGCTATCAGCAATGATGCAGAGTCATCACTGGCGAGTCCCTCATTCAGGTGAACATGTGCTGCCATGCCATGAGCATCCCCTCACCATACCATCTACAAAACTAACTCCAAAATGTGAAAACAGAGAAGACGCATCGTTACAAATGACACAGCACTACAGGAACAACCAGGCTAAAATAAAACACACTGGCACACAAAGAACGAATTAAGTCTCGAGACAGAAAAAAACCATTAGGACAAAAAGAGCATGGACAGCATGTTTCAGCCACAGGACACCATATGTTCTCACATGCCAAGCTGATGGCATGCCATGGTCTAGGAAGCACTCCTGTACTGCAGTCCATTTTGAAGGAGGTCACACTAGTATGTAATGGTTGCTGTTTAAAAACACTGCAGAATAAAAACATAGGCTAGCAGGTCACAGTTTCAAACCTGTCTGCACATGTAAATAGGCACAAGATTTGCCCATTTCAGTGTTCTTTCAACATGAGCAAAGAAAGGAGGAAGTTTTGAAAACACACCCTTTCCATGTAAAGAAAGGTATCTCTATGGCAAGAGTAGACAGGAAAAGGTACCGCTGCAGCGGTCAGGGAGGTATCTAGGAAAGGACTTCACAACAAAAAGGCCATGGTGGAAGAAGAAACCTTCAGGTCGTTTAGTCCATTACTGTGCCTTCACTAGTGGCCATTACTCATGCTTTTAACAGAAGCATTTTCCTTCTACAGTCTGCCCATAACAAGCTGTCTTGTTTTGAATTCCCTCCTAGCCCACTGTATCTTCCCCCTCCCCTCGCCAACTGACTACTTCACCACCACCTTGGTGAGAGCTATGAATTATATTCCTGGGCACAAAATGACTCAACCCTATTTTAAAGACCCTTCTTCACTTTTTGGAAATACAGATGTCAAAATGGGTATACATACACCAGCTTCAGCCTTTTTTATTTCCCAATGTTAAAATATTATAAATTCAAACCACCTCATGCTTGCCCCAGCATATTCTTTTGTTCCACAGCAAAGACCCACTGTTAACATCAGAGACAGCTCCCCTTGTAGATTCCTGTAAAGTGATCTGTCACAGCAGCAGCAGGAGTCAGCATCTAATGATGTAGAACAAAGAGAATTTCTTAAGTGAGACAGCTGATTATTCATATAATAGCAGTCTAGGGAAATCTGCAGATGGCCTCAGAGGTGGGAGGCTAGGATTTGCCCCAGAAGAGAATTCTGGGGACAAAGGAAAAGTACTGCAGCTGCTGGAAAAGACATATAAACAATAGCATGGAGGTAGAGAAGTAATGGACAGCAATTCGGTTAAGCAGCTTTGCAAGTGATATCACTCAGTATCTTGTTAAATACTCAGCTACCACTTTTAACATATAAAGTTACATATTTGCGTCCTCAAATCCACCAGCCTTTCTTCTGCATTTCAACCCTAGTTAGAGCAAAATAATGACAATACTGACAAATATAAAATACCCCCTCCTCCCGAAAGCCCTCTATCCTTGTTACACCCAAATCAGCGCTCCTCAGGACACTCGAAGGTAGCAGGATCCATGCAGCATCTCCAACAGATCTGAACTAATTGGGTCGGCGAGGGAGGAAGTGACAGCCAGCCAGCAATGGCTGTCCTGAAGCGCTGATATCAGATCAACTGTCTAACCACAGGCCTCTTAATAAAATGAAGCTGCTAAAGAATATACATACTCAATTTCAAAGCCACTTTTTAATTAATGAAAAATACTGTCTAGAAAGTGGTCAGAAAATGTCCAGCCTAAACCTGACTGTTGTTCAGCCCAACACAGCCTACGAAGCCAAGACAAGTTTTGCTGCATTCCAATCTCCTCTCCTGTATTTGATTCGTTTGCAGTATGGGGAGCTTCCAGCAATCCACACAAATGACAGTCTCATATGTGTCTCTGATTCACAGTAGCCTTAATATCTGGCCCTACTGCACAAGTACCAGACCAACAACATCATCCTCTGATTTCACTCAAAATTGTAGGCATAATCTTCTACCAGTCATTTGTGATTTAATGCATGGCTAATCACAAACTTGCCTTCAACAACACAAGGAGAAAAAGAAATTTATCTGCCGACATCATAGCTTCTAAATAAATGGTTGCAGGAACAGTTTCTTCTCCCATGATCTTCATGGTGTCAATAAACAGACTTGAATCAGGGCACATTTGCTTCTACCCTCCTCCCTCTCCCTTAGCACCCACTTTGCAGGAGGGAGCGCTGCATTTTTTAGCTGAGAGCAACAACCCTTATGTGATGGGTTGTGGACGGGCCAAATTAATGTTTGCTGATTTGTTGGCAGATAGAGGTTTTAGCCCAGCAGCTCTTTGGAAAAAGCCACAGTGTTCTCTCCCATGTCCAAAAGAGATTTATTTTCTTTATCTGACTCAGATCTCCAATACAACAAACCAAGATAGTATCTGGTGTCACTGTTGCTATTGAGGGAACACTAGCCCGGCTTTAGCATTTCCTTCCTGCTTTAGCAGCTGCTGATTTATGCTTTATCAGTGACACATCCCACTGAGTAAACTCTAAGCAATATTGCTTGGGAGGTTGGGAGGGAAAGACCCTCTTTCCATAGAAACATGAGAAATAAACAAACACAAATAAAAGTGAAGTAAATATTAGATTTATCAATTTTTTATGTGATTTTATTAAAAGATCAGTCTGAGATTTTTCTCAATTTACTGAGACGTTTTAGTTCAAATGAAGTCATATTTTAAATTAGCTCATGGCATTCACTCCGAATTACTCATTGATGCATAAAGTAGTGCATAAAATAGCATACGTTTTCCTTCATTTGTTTTGAAGGGTTGCTACTAATTAGGTTAGGAAAACAAATGAGATTTTAAAAAGGCATTTCATTTTTAGAGGCTGAATGAGATGGGTTGTTCTAAACCAGAATGTTAACATACTTCTAAATATTAAAATGATCACACATACCAGGTAAGCAAATTACATAGCAAGTTAGTTAGTATGGTACTAATGTTAAACAAGGTCATTCCCACTGCAGTGAGAGAGATTTTGTATTCTGCTTAAAATTAAAAACATACTCAGGTTCTTTGCTGGATGAGGCCTTGTTACATGCATCTAGTGTCTAGCCAGTTATTACAACCAGCTTTTTAAGACATGAACTTTACAAGCAAAAATCTGTTTTCTTGCACAGTAAACACCTGGAGCCAGATTTTGAAAGCCTGCACATTTTTATACATGTGCTGTGATGTGCAAATCGTATTTGTAGATGGATACCCTCACATTGTGGTCTGAAATTGAGCACAAGCACTTGGGTGCACAGAAAAATGTACCTGGTTTCAGTATTTGACACCAAAATAAAGAATATAAAATTAAGCTGAGGGAACAAGTGCTGCTGTTTCTCAATGCACAGTAAAGGGCTCATATTTACTCCATATTTTTGAATGGTCATGTGAGAACAGAGCTGATCTTCATAATTCACTGAAGCAGCCAGGGCTTCCTTAAGAGTTTTACCTCTTAGGTTCTGCTCATTGGTCGGAACAGAAATACTTGACTCAGTTGCTTTCTGAAATCACAGTCACTCTTCTTTGCCCTCCCTCATTTCCAGCTAACTCAGCAAGTGAAAACAAATGTTTTGTCTACAGTTCTAGAAGTTTCTGTAGAGAAAAATTTACAGCTTCAAAGGATCTTTCTGAAAAGGCAGCTAGCCAGTGACTTCTATCAGTATAGTGAGCTGATTTCTTATTTTTTTTAAAAATCATTTTGGCAGCAAACATGTACTTTCACAATGGTTGTACGTCAGCATGGACATTAAATACAAGTAGTGAATAACTAGAATGCCATGTGGGTAGATGCTCCTATCACAGGGCCATCTACCTCTAACAGGGCAATATTTAGTAAAAGCAAATATAATTCTGGTATGAGCTGTTTTGTTTTGCTACATTAAGTACTGCCTGTAGTTTCTACAAAGAAGTTGATCCTTCTCACCAGAGCCTCTTTACAGCAAGCAGAAAGCTGCTGTGCATGGTGCCCTTTTCACTAAAGGCAACACCAGGTCAACATGGGGTAAAGGATCACCCCTGCAGTTACATTTTCTACTAGCTTCTCACAGTGGATGCTAGGCAGGTCGCCTACAACAAAAGCACAGTTTCAAATGGAAATTGTTTAAAGCGTTACCTATACATGTTAGTCAGGGCTATACACATGCATGAAATCCATAGCTTTACTGATCTCAATTCTGGCATTCCTCATTTCTGTGAACAGGAATGAAAGAAAATGTACGCTATAATGGGTCTTCCCAGCATCCATCCCATGACTGCACTGGACAACACACCTCAATAGATGAAAAACGTATTAGTTCCATTATTGCATCAGAAAAAAAGAAGCTGTTCTCTGAGTCATAGGATGTATGCAAATATATATTAATATACATGTGTCTTCCTAGTTGGCCTAAAAGCAGTGGCTCACACATAGCTAATTAGGTACCATTAGGTGGAAGGCTGACATGTCTCCTAACAAGTCTTTAAAAGAGAGCTTCTTTTGCTACATTGGTCAGAGAGAATCTCTAATTGTTTTCTGCAAGAAATCCTATATCATATTCTGTTTTGTTCCTCACTAACTAGTAAAGTATTGTAATTTTCTTTCTGCCTAATAATTTTTCTCTCCTGCAGCATAAACTGGATGCCAGTATTACTCTGTGCATCAATTTTACTGCAGTGATTATATTAGATATATTTTCATATATTAAAATTATTTAATTTCTTGTTGCTGCTCTTAAAACTGTCATGTACCATAGTGCAGAGTTC